CAGCATGATTGTCCGACAAAACCTATGTACAAGTACTTTACTTTTGTTCTTGTACTTGCTTATGATTGTTTGCAAGTTGAATTGACTATTCATTGGTTAAGATCAACACTAGCTGAAGGTTGATAGGTATGTAACTTCTATTAACTGGATTATTAACCCACAATTCCAATACATATAAACAGTGTCAACTAAAATTAACTGTGTTCTTACATTCATTGGTTGGAAGGTATGGAGTAGCCTAATTTGTGTGGGAGCCAGGAAAGTTGTAAACATGGAAAACCTTGCCTTTAAAACATTCTGTTAAACAAACTCTGTTTTTCTTGAAGCCACATAATTCTATGAAGATGCTCCTGATTAACATGGAATCTCTCTAAAACATAGCTGACATAGGGGGTGCTTATGATGCTGATGGATGTGGAGGATAAATTATCCCAGGACTTCTGGTTTGCCGATGCGACCGCCATGGATGATTAGAAGACGACCTCCGTCTTCCTCATCCAGTTTCGCATTGCTGGGGGACCCTGAAAGGGTTGAAAGTCGCCCTGTAGAAGTGACCAGTTAGGAGGGGCCCTCGCTGGATCACGGGAGAGCGGTAACCCTCCCGCTAGAGCCGGCGCAACCCTCCAAACTGGCGGATGAAAGACTGGCCATAGCAATATGGCCCATCACTAGGCTGTGGACAGCCGAAGTCACACTTACCACCAGACAACTTTAAAGCAGCATGGGTGAGATCTACCTCTCTTAAATCCTAACTACTTTTTTTTTAGCTACATAAGCTGCTAAAGTATTTTTTCCCCTGTGGAGAGGGAAGGGGGATGTTAGCCCCCCCTCTAGAAAAGTGGCAACCGATTATCCAGGGGAGCTTAAAACGTTGAAAAAATAATTGGATCCCAATTGGAATTTTATTTTCTAAAGTTTGTGGACTAAAAGATTTTCTATTTTCTATTCTTTATTTTCTATTTTTACTGAAGATCTGGGTTTTTCCTTAAAACTGAAAACTAAAAAGATTAAAATAACTTTGGGATTTAAAGGAAAACTTCAAATGGTACCAGAAAATAGATAAGACTTATGTAACTTTGAAACACCAGCTGTGAGAAGCTCAGCTGTGCTTCCTACTCAGTGGAAAAGGAAAAAAAAAGATCTTTCTGGACTTCCTGATTGTAAAGCTTATAGTCTAATACATCATTATGGAAGAAGATCAGGAACAGACTTTTCCGACTGAAGATCAGGAACAAATCCTTTCTATGCTGAAAGCAATTTATCAAACCCTTCTTACAGCTGGTGACGAAATAAAAGCTTACAGAAAAGAACAATAAAGCAGCCTGGATATGCAAACTGAAACTTTGACTACAACTAAAAAATCAACTATACAGAATGTAACAGAAAAAGTGGAACAGTTAAATATTATGACAGAAGATTTAACTGCTCAACAAACACAGATAGTGGAAAATCCAGAAAAGAAACTGACAACATGGAAAAAGGAAAAGACTTCCAATATAAATCAGAAGGAACCTGAAGTTCAAGAAGAAGAACAGATGGAAGAGAAGATAAACACTTCAGGACAACTACGTCGAGATGGAAAAATAAAGAGATCTGCTAGACCTGCTAGACTTGCTAGCCCTTTCAAAAAAATGGCAACCGGATGGCTTTTTCAACAGCAAATAATATATATACAAGGAGATTTGTTTGATGACTCAAAAGCACATGGAAGATGATTTGGCAAAGAAAGAAAGCTAGAATAAGATGGAAGAAGAATGGGGTTTTGACTTACTTATGAGAATCAAAATAGAATATACCCAAATAGATAAGATGTGTATTTTGAATACAAGATATTACTATGAATGGAGATAAAGAAAACTCTGGTCATTTAAAATTTAGAAGGATAAATATTAATAGTTAAATTTGAATATTGATTTGTTCATAAAGGTCATGTAAAGGTGATTAAGATATATATAAACTAAAAACTTATTGATGAATGTAATAAATATGTCTTGATGCAGCGGTAAGAATGAAAATTATTAGCTTTAAATATGAGATAGTAGATACAAAGAGGAAGAGAGAGGAAATATTAAATGTTGAAATAAAAGAAACTGTGGTTACTAAATTTAAGATATTTGGAAACTATTAGAAAATAAGAATATTTTATTGTATTATTAACTTGTTGATGTAGATGGTAAGAACTTAAATAGACGTGTACCCTGAATACCAAATTTTATGAGGAATTGTGATGAAGGGAATTGGGAACACTTAAAATTTGGAAATGATGAATATTAAACGTTAATTTTAAATATTAATGGAAAATTAAAATTGGGAAAAACTCACTAGGACATTGATTGTCTCAAAGGTTGAATGTTAAAACAATTAAGATATATATAAACCAAAAACTATTGATAAATGTAAGAAAGTTATTTTTTATTTGATTGATAGAATAAGAAGTGTATTAATTTAAATATGAGACAGTACATATTAAGGGGAAAAGAGAGGAAATATTTACTGTAATAGTTTAAGATTTGTACTAATGATATTTGTATGTAATTGAATTATGGTAACTCAGCCACCACGTTGCTTTTCAAAGATATACATGTAATATTAGGAAATCAATAAAATTTTCAAAAAAAAAAGATAAATTATCCCAAATTCTCTCTTTAATTCCTGATACTTTATACGATAGTAACCTATCGTGTCACTTACTTCTTTCTTGCTCAGGATCCGTTCCTTCCTTCCTCCCTCCCTCCCTCCCTCCCTCCCTCCCTTTCACACACACACACACACACTTTTTTTTAAGGCTGAAGCTAAAACATGAAGAACTGTTGCAGGAACTGTATATGTCTAGTCTAATGAAAAGACAGGCTAGGGGTAACGGGATAGCAGTGTCCCAATATTTGAGGGGCTGCCACAAAGAAGAAGGGGTCAATCTATTTTCCAAAGCACCTGAAGGCAGGACAAGAAGCAATGGATGGAAACTGAACAAAGAGAGAAGCAATCTAAAACTAAGGAGAAATTTCCTGATAATAAGAACAATCAACCCCTGGGAAAAAACGTGCCTTCAGAAATTGTGGGTGCTCCAACACTGGAGGCTTTTAAGAAGGGACTGGACAACCATTTGTCTAAAATGATATAGGGCAGGGGTGTAAAACTGCTGGCCCTTGGGCCGGGTGCGTCATCGGGAAACCACACCCATCCCATTGCTAGCAATGGCGAAAAAACTCCGATATGTTGTGCGACGTCACATGACGTCGCAAGTTTGACATGTCTGGTATAGGGTCTCCTGCTTAAGCAGTGGGTTGGACTGTAAGACCTCCAAGGTCACTTCCAACTCTGTTATTCCATTCTATTCATTTATCATTCCAGTATTTTAGCTCTTCCTTCAGTTTTTCCCATTCCCAATTCCAGACTCCCATTTCTTCTTCTCCTGCAGTCATTCTCAAGCATCCTGGTTTCTCAACAATGGAAATTGAGGGAGCAGGGAAAAAACATTACAAAGCATGGATACCATTTTTTAATTGATTTAATCCATTTTAATTTGTTTTTTGGACTGAGACTTACTTACTAAAAATATATTCGTGAAATGAAGACATTAGGTGGCCATAGGTCATTACTTTCACCACCCAGCTAAAAGTAATTTAAATATAAAAATGAATCACAGGCATCAGCAGAGAGTTGTATAGGCACCAGGGGAAATTACTTCTAAGTACTCCAGGTGTAACCTAGTTTTTATGAAAATCCATATATTTTATGTTTTAGTTGATACACAGAGAAGTAGTGCATCAGTCTCTCAAATCCCTTCCAATTTTATTTTGTTAATCCTATTTTTTGTGTGCTGTAAGACTTGAGTTGTAGCACAACAATAATTTTTTATGTGATTAAAACAATGAGTTTTAATCACAACAGTGTAAAGTCTATGGAACAATTAAAATTACATAACAATAAACAGTCCCCCAAATTAAATCACAGATTCATAAAACCAAGCAAAAGCAATAAAAAAGAGACAACTATTTTAAGATGAACCGAGAACAGCGGGGGTGAAGAAGCAAGGTGTCATCTATGAAAGTAAATAACTGTAGGATATTATTCTACTCTGCACCCATAGGGAATACCACTATCACATAGCTGACTATATTTCTTGGTTGCTCTTGTTTCTGTGGCTGTGCATTCTGTTTCATAAATCTGCCAATTTCACATTATTTGTAAGGAACTATTTTAGCATTGATAATGTTACCTAGTTGGGTAATGAAACATCTGCATGCTAACGATATATATGTTCTTTGTCTATGAAATATGTAAATTGCCACAATCTCAGTGACTCTAGTACATGTTCTTTTGGTATTTGGAACCTATCAAGACATGAAGAATTACAGATTTGGGGCTAAGGACTAGCTAAAAACGACCAGACAACAGTAGAAGAAGAAATTTGCAACTATGGACTGTTGAATGTATTGTCTGCCAATATTTAAATTACATTATATGGGGTTTGGTTTTATTATTTTTTTAATGAAGGAACAAGAAATCTTTTGAACAATATGGTTAAAACTTTTGGGGTTGTTTATAACAGAATTTGCTAGGAACCTCTTTTTCTTTTAATGTTATTACTTTTTTTAATGACCGTTGTATTTGAAATTAAAGTATACTATTCCATTCTGTTCTATATTGTTTTATATTGAGTTAGCTATTCTGTCTACTGTCAAGGGCTGGCTAGGATATTCTGGCTAGGGAATTCCACATAACTTCAAGCTGAAAAGGTTGTAAAACACTGGTCTGCATTGACTGTCTCTTGGCAATTCATCCTCGGGTGAAACTACTGTACATTCTTCTATTTATCCTAGAAACACTAGGAGCGTCTTTTACACTTGAGAGTAGCACTGGATCCAAACGGAGATACATTAACCCCAGTTTGCAGCTAGTTCACTTTCTTTTCTTATTCTTGAGCAGCCTATTTTTAAACCGGGTAACAGAAATCAGCGTTTGCTTTTTTTTTTCTTTTTTTTTTGCATTTGATCTTGGGCAAAATGCTTCGGAATCTGCGGAGTTAATCTTACAATTTTAACAACTCCTCCTTCGCTATTTTAATCCTATCCTAAGGGGAAAATCAGCAGGACGCTTAGCAGCCCTTTTTTTTTAAAAAAAAATTGCAACTTGTCTACCTCCAGCATTTAAAACGCACATAGGCTCACGTGCCTTGGGTCTACCAAGGCGAGGCATTATGGTCAACGTAGTTTGCGATAACAGAAATCTTGCTCCTTCGTGGCGGAACTGCAATGCAATACTTCCTGCTGGCGGAAATGGTAAGATCTGCGAGGCTAGTAAGTGGGAGGCGTGTGTTTGACTATCGTTGATATAAAATCACTACGCCCAATGAATGGTCACATCTGACCTTCTCGGCTCTATATTTAACTTTTGATTCTGCCCTGATTGTATGTTTCGGTGTTTTGCTGTCTCTAAAAGCAGAATCACATTTTTCAGCATTACTCGGATTAAAGGTTAGAAGGTGGTTGGGAAGTTTAAAATCTTTTACTTCCAAATTTAAAGATCCCCGTCTGCATTTTTTTCCCTCCCTTTCCTGATGTTGGTTTATATCCATAGCCTATTCTAGAATCCCTTAAAAGCATTAGTGTCGTAAACAAAAACAAAGCTGACAAAGGTTAACAAACTTGGTTTCTTTTTAAAGGTATTGTTTACTTTGAAATCCTAAAGACGTACACGGAGATACTGCATAACATTTATTGCCATTTTATTCTTAATGGAGGAGGGTTGCTTCGGTAGTCTCATAGTTTGGTATAATCAGCAGAGGTGAGTATTTTTGTTGTTTTATAGAAAGCAATGCCACTTGCCCTTAGAAAACAAGAAGAGGCAGCTGCAGTTGCTCACAGACACTACTACTAATAGTAAGTTCAGGTAGAGAGAGGACATTCAGAAGGCTTATTTATTTAGGGTTTTTCTTTTACTATATTTCAATCATTAAAGGGTTTTTAGGGGAGCTGGTAATAATAAAAACACCTAAAATCTAAACAACAGTGAAAGATAAAATAATAAATAATAACATTTGAGCTTCTGTATCTAAGTAACTGCTAGCTGCTGCTTCTAGTGTCAAGTAGTATGTAATAAGATATTTCTCATCTCCTCCCCCCCCCCCATTATGAATGAATGAATGAGATGCCTTTTTCCTTCCATAATCTGGTTAGGAAACTGGTAATTTACAGCTATTTTTATAACTCTTGTTTTTTTCAGTTGCAGCGTGCAAGATGGTTATAGCTTTGGCATGTCAAGTGGGATATAGAAGAACTTCAGCTCTGTGTAATAGGATTTATTCAACCTATGTCAGGAGAATGAGGTATGTATGTTCTTAGTCCATGAGAAGATAGGCTGGTTCTATTAAGTTTTCTCAAAATATATTAGCTAATAAGATAAATTAAGAATTATAGGACATTATAGTGAAGTTTTACAAAATTTGTGACTATAGCAGTAGATTTCTATTGTGGTCAAATACTTTGGGCTGTAGTGCTGCATTTATTTACAGAAGATAAAGCCATATTGAATATAATCATTCCCTTCCATATGCAGGAACTCTGCCAATTTTTAATCCACACTGCCCTCTTGTGTGTCCACAATGCTATGTAGCTCTTTGCAAGCTGAAGTTCGTTTAATTATTTAATGGAATTTATAGAGCTGCCAAATGTGACTCTGGGTGATGTATAGCTGAAATAAGCAATAATCCCTGCCCCTTATATAGCATTAAAAAGGAACAATATATAAAATATAAAATGATGAGCAAATGTGGTAATTAGTCATCCAAAAGGACACTCCACTTAACTTGGACCCAAATGCTGGGGGGAAAGCCACATCTTAATGGAATTTTTAAAGTTTTAAGATTTGGGTCATGTATAGGGGTGGAGACTATTCCTAAGGGACAACCTGGGAAAGCACATTCCCAGGTTCCATATAATCACAATATTTAAAGGAGGATCTGGAGCATGCCTTCCCTCTAGGAATGTGTGGAGTGAGCAAATATTCTTGGGAGCAGGCGGTCTCTCAGGTAACCTGGACCTATGGCATGTAGGGCTTTAAAATGGATCTAACACCTTGCATCGCACCCAGAACCTTTAGAGCAGAGGTCCCCAACCTTTTGGACACCAGGGATCGGTTCCATGGAGAAAGGTTTTTCCATGGACCGGAGAGTGCGTGGTTTTGTGTGCTGCCTGCATCCCACAGATGGGGCTTTGCTTGTTTCTGAGGACCGGTTGCTGGCATGCTGCAGCCTGTACCGATCCATGGACTGGGGATTGGGGACCCCTGCTCTAGAGAACCAGTGTAGCTTGCAGATAGTGGAATTACAACGGCATAATAATCCACCCTGTTGCATTCTGGATGAACTGGAGCTTCTGAATAGTCTTCAAGGAGAGTCCCGTGTACCTCAGCTGTTGCTCCAGAAAAACACTACAACACTATGTTCTGAACATACCTAACAGATTGTTTTATGTAGCTCCACTGAGTGAATGCAGGGAAGATTATTGTTTCGTCTATTCATGAGGTGCTCCTAATCCTTTCCCAATTACAGATACATGTTCAAGCTGAAAGAAGATGATGATGCTTGTCGGCAGGCCTATAATTCTGGAACTTTCTTCCTATTTTACAACTTCTCTCCCTTCGTGCAGCAAAAAGGAAAAGCGTTACTAGCCCCAAAGCTAAAGGCAGCAGGTATTTAGCTTCTGTATTATTCAGACATAATTCTACTAGATCAATGTTGATATTCCTGAGCTGTGCTTGATCTATAGGAATCATAGATTTGGAAAGGGTCATTGAGGCGATCAAGGCCAATCCTCTAATCAGAACAGTTAAAAAGAGGATTGGGGGGGCTCAACCTATTCTCCAAAGCACCCGAAGACAGGACAAGAAGCAATAGATGGAAACTAATCAAGGAGAAATCCATCCTAGAACTAAGGAGGAATTTCCTGAGAGAACAATTAATCAGTGGAACAATTTGCCTCCAGAAGTTGTGGGTGCTTCAACACTGGAGGTTTTCAAGAAGAGATTGGACAACTATTTGTCTGAAATGGTATAGGGTTTCCTGCCTGAGCAGGGGGTTGGATTAGAACAGTGGTTCTCAACCTGTGGGTCGGGACCCCATTTGGGGTCGATCGACCATTTCACGGGGGTCGCCAAGCAAGGCTGTCCACCATTTTTTTTGTCTGCCATTTTTTCCCTCTTTTCCGGCGGGTGCCTTACCTCCCTTGGGCTGGGCCAGCTGGTGGTCGGCCTGCTCCCTCTCTGCCGCTTGCCAGCTACGCCTCGGCCGGCGCAGGGGGCAGAACCACGCATGCGCAGCGCTCCTGGGCAGGGAAAGTCCTCGACTTACGACCGGTTGGGTAGTCCTCGACTTACGACCGGTTTAGTCCTCGACTTACGACCGGTTGGGGTCGCGGCATTAAAAAGGTTGAGAACCACTGGATTAGAAGATCTCCAAGGTCCCTTCCAGCTCTATTATTCTGTTAAAGTATTGTGAGAGGTGGCTTTGTACCTTCTATTTGACCACATCTAATGACGTGGAGACCATCACCACTCTATTTCATTTGGTTCCACCATAAAGTCTCTCTCACTGCTAAGAAGTTTCTTTTCTATCAAGCAATCAATTTATTTAGGAGGGGAAAAAACCTTGAAGTAGGAAACAAGGGCATCCATGACTTAATGTTACAAGATGTCAAAGATGTCCTTGCTTTCTACTTGCAGCAACAGAAGGTACAAAGCCACCTCTCACGATACTTTAACAGAATAATGATAGCAGTTTACGAGATGAAGGGAAGGGAGTTGAAGATCTTGAATAGAAAATTAAGTCTCGGTGCTCTTGTAAAGCTGCAATTGTTAGATTCCTTTGGGAAGCACTTTATTATAATGTTGCTTTCTATTCAGATTTATGATAAAGCATCTGTGCATTTGTTTTAGACTTGCTATACTAGATGGTAAATATGTTAATGAATCATTACAGTGGGTGGTGGTTGTATCTTTTGAGGCATCTCCTTATTCTAATATCTTTCAGAAATAAAAAGACTTTTGCAAAAATTTCAGAAGAGTGAGAAGATGATGGAGGAGTCCATGCTGGTGGGCTGTTCGGAAGAATGTACCCCATATTTTGCTCTTGACCTAGGTTAGAATTTGTATGCATAAATGCTAATAACCTGACCCTCATTGCTACACTATAAATCATGTGAAACAATCTCATATCCTAAGGATGTGCAAATTTGTCAATGTGGGAACAGTTAATTCCAAAGGGTTCTGGTATGATCCACCCAAACTGTGCCATTCCCGGCTTATGGTGGCAAATCCTCTGCATAGGAACTAGTTTGAGGTATTCTGGACCTTGTGCATTTGGTTCTCGAAAGAAAACTATTTTACAAATGAAGGCAAATATATGTGTCCCAGAATAATGTTGCAGGATCCAATCAAGCTTGGTCAGTGGGACCAGAGATTTAGTCCTCCGAGCTTTTGGACTTGTGCTGGGACTATTCCTCGGGAAACTTCTTTCTGCTGGAATGTGTTCTTTGGGCTATTCTATGTGTCATATTTATGTGCCTGGTTGGGTGTGGCTTTCTATTGGTTGATTGGCATGTTGATGGCCAGCTGTTAAAGTACCACAAAAAATCCCATGCAATGCACACATTCCAGCAGAGAGAAGTTCCCTGAGGATGGGCTCCTGCGTGAGTCTGAAAGCTTGTAAGACTAAACCTCTGGTCCTGCTGATCTACCCAGATTGGATCTTGAAAACTGTTTCGTATTTTTGGAGTATTTTGGGAGAGTGATAAAAAAAAACCCTCATTATACTTTTGTAATCCTCTACCATGCCTTTGCTTAGTTATTTTTTTAAAAAAATTGAAATTCAGCCATCCTCAGCAATCTTCTCTCATTTGTAAAATGAAAAGATTATAAGTGTGCAGAATAGTTCAAGGTGGATGCAATATATCGTCTTTAACCTTGTATTCATTAAATTGCACGGGCAATGCTGGTGCTCATTCATTTGCTTAGGAGAGAGATTTTTCAGGTGTCCTGAATAATTTGGTGGTATTTGCAAACTTGATTTCCAGTCTAATTATTTGTGTGTTCTCACCAAATACAACCGGACTTATATTTTATGAAAACATTGTTAGGTGTTTCTGAATTCCTTAAGTGCTGGAAGACTTTATGTGATACAGCACTTGCCCAGGACTCTTTACAAAAAATGGAATGGCATTTTGTATATGTTGAGTTTATATGTAAATATTCAGAAGATCAGGTCTTTTGGTTTACTATTTCACACTATATTATTTCTACAGCAACACTTTATTTTTCCAAATTTCCTAGAAATTAAAGTCCTGATCCTGGCCATAGTGTTCCTCTAAAAGTGATAGTGTATTATGTTTTTAAAGGTGATAATCATGAATTATATCAGGATATACAGCAGAAAATAGGGAAAGAAAGGGTATTTTCTTTCCAAAGCAGTATCTGTCTATTTAATGTGAGCCATTAATCTCCATTTCTGTGATAAAGAAGATAATTGCCAGAGCTATTAATCTTGCTCATACTACAGCCTATGCTTTATATAGAATTACTGACCCGAATAATGTTATGGAATGATTATTTAATCTTATAGTACAATTATTGGTTAACTGTATCAGCAACAGTATTAACTCTACAATAACTGTGGTTTAATCCATGGAAACGGCGTGGGGGAGGGGGTAATAATAAAGATGTTTGATTCCCACAGATTTATTGAATTCCAGGATCCTTGCCAAAATCTGCTGTTGAGTCTGAACTTGATGGATCCTTTGGAGAATTACAGAAAGCTTTCTTCCAATTAGAGGACGAAGATGCATCTTTGATTTCCACGGTATGATTTTATGCATAAAATATTGTAAACACAAATGACATATGCAAACATATATAATGATGGTAAAGAATTGTAAGCATTTCCAGAGGAAAATAGGAAATTGAGCTTCTTGATGTGGGCAATTTTTGACTGCTTGAATTTATGCTTTCTCTTTTTATTTTTCTGCCTTCTCAATTCTGCAAACTGCCCTTCTTTGTGTAGACCTTTTGGCTTCTGATCAGAATAGCTCAATTTTGCCAATATCATCCAGAAATTTTGATTGGAGCAAATCAATTTTCATTGATTGAAGAATCTGGAATCTGTCATATTTTACCCCAGTGACATTTATGACAAATCAGAGATATTTACTGCATTGTTCCATTGATTTATTAGAAGGAGTGAACATAAGGAAGAAGATCAGAAGTGATTGTTTGTTTGTTTGTTTAAAACTTTATTCCTTGCATTTGGCTATTATTTGTTTAATTGTAGTGTGTTAAATAGGACATAGGGGCTAGCATCATACACCACACTAAGTGATAAACCATAAATTGCAAATTGAAGAGGCTGACTTTAAAGCCAAAGTCAAGCAAGTCTCATTATGGCTTAAGTGTAGTGCTGGAACTCAATCATCCAGCTTTTTATTATATAACAACACCTTTCATTTTGATGTGGTCAGGTATTCAAGATAGGATATCACTTCTCCAACTTCAGTGTGCCAGGCCCAGGTATGGTGACAGCTGTTACTGGCCACATTTTTTTTTGGAGTGGAAGTAACATTACTGTGCTGTAGTCACAGTTCAATCCCAGGAAAGGCCTGGCAATAAATTATGAGGATGAAGATTCATTCTCCAGGCTTGTGGGTTGGTTTCCAAATGTTTCGTTACCAGGCTAGATAACATATTCAGTGGAGTTTAGGGGATATCAGTGTTCTTCTGTTTATAAGGGCTTCCTGTGGTCAGTAAATCTTGTGATGGGTCAAGTGTGAGTCATCAGTGAAAGTCTTGTGATGGGTAGGTTATATCAGGTGAGAGTCATTGGGAGGTGAAGTTCTGATTGAGGGGGCCTTGCGTGGGTTGGTTGAGGGTCTGTGCTGTCTCTGGTTAGCTGGTTGTAGGACACATTGTCAACTGACACATAGACCTGCAACCAGCCTAAGAACCCCTCAGAATCCAAATCAACCACACAGCCAACCACAAGACTCTCACTGATGACTGACACCTGACCCATCACAAGACCCACACTTGACACACCCACACCTGACCCATCACAAGACCTACTGACCACATGAAACCCTTACAAACAGAAGAATACGGACTAACATCCCCTAAACTCTGCTGAAGATGTTACCCAGCCTGGTAACAAAATGTTCAGAAACCAACCCACAAGCTTAGAGAATGATCCTTCACCCTCATCCTACACCCAAGCTACATATATTTGCTACTATTGCAACCATAATTATGCTTCGAATATTATCTGAGTGGATATGGCATCCAGTAATGGGATATTCACAATTCTATAGCGCTAATAAGTGCTGGAGAGACTGAAAAGAATCTCTTATGGAATAATTTATTTTTATGACAAGTCTTTCTGGCAAGCCTCTTTTTGCAAGGAATCTCATTTAAGGAAACTGTAGTCATCACACACTACTATGAATGAGCTAGACTAGTCTCCAGAATTCTGAAATCTGCCCAGTTCTGCATTTCTTAGCATTCATACCCAGGACTCCTCTCTTTAGCCCAGCCCTGGAAAAAACAAAAAGTCTTTTCTGTCACTCAGAAATTAACAAATCTTGTGCTGGCTCTATACAGAAGCTACTGTGTTTTCCCAAAAATACGGTCTGGTCTTTTCTTTCTTTTTTTTGCCTCCAAAAAAGGCACCAAGTCTTATTTTCGGGAGATGTCTTACTCACCGACAGCCCCGCCCAGCAGATCCACTTCTGGGGCTGAAGTTCTGCAGCTGCATTCTGGCCTGCATTTTGCAGTCAGGCCTTTCCGGAAGGCCTCTGCAGCCAAGTACCGAGCTATGGATTCAATCTATAGCTCGGTCCTCGGCTGCAGAGGTCTTGCAGAACCGAGTTATGGATTGAATCAATAGCTCGGTTCTTGGCTGTAGAGGCCTTCCAGAAAGGCCTGTGACTGAGAAATGTAGGCCTGGCTGCAGAAGACGCCACCGAAGAAGCGGGCTGGGGAGGGGAGGCCTGGCTGCAAGGTAAGTGGGTGCGGGGCGCATGGGGCAGATTCATACCCTCACCCCGCCCTAGCTTGATTTTTAAGTGTGTGCCTCGCCCCAAAACTAGGGCTTATTTTTGGAGTAGGGCTTTTATATTAGGCCCACCCCCAAAAATCAAGTTAGGCTTATTTTCGGGGTAGGCCTTACTTTCGGAGAAATACAGTAGCTGTATAGTCATACAGTCTTGCATTGAGAAGAAGGTTTTAATGAGAAATTTCCTCATTAAGTCAAGCCAGATTTCTAAAGACAAAGGTAAATTTATTGGGAAAGGGGAGAGCTTAAAGGGGAAGCAAGAATTGGAACAAATTCCAAATAAAATCAATGCAAACAATCTAGCTAGAGTAATTACTTACAGGTAGTCCTCAATTTACAATTATTTGTTTAGTGAGTGTTCGAAATTACAAGAGCATTGAAAAAAATTGCCAACAGTTTTTGACACAACTATTGCAGTATTTTCCATGGCCACGTGTTCACAATTTGGATGTTTGGCAACTGGCATGTATTTATGGCGGTTGCAGTGTCCCAATGATCACGTTTTGCAACCTTCAGATAAGCAAAGTCAATGGGGAAGCCAGATTCACTTAACAATTGTGTTACTAGCTTAACAGCTACAGTGATTCATTTAAGAACTGTGGCAAAAAAGGTTGTAAGATGGGACAAAACTCAACCGCTGTCTTGCTTAGAACAGAAATTTTGGGCTCATTTGTGGTTGTAAAGTCAAGGACCACCTGTACTATGTTTTTGCCCAATCAGAGCCTTTCCTATCCTGACTCACTGAATTGATTTTTGTAGTCTCAGGCACTCCTTCGATGGCATAATAATAACCAATATTGTGGCAAAACCGGAGAGCCCACAGTGAAGAATTTGGCTGGGAGCAAACGAATTTGTCATAACAATGGAATCATCTATTATCCACAGGTAAGCCTCTGAATGGAAAAGAACATACCGTATTCTAAAGCCATAAAGGCAGCCAGCAAGATTTGTCCATGCTGGCAAAAGCTTTTTGTAAAGATATTTTTTTAAAATACTAATTATGACTTACCCTTGGGATGATTCTTGCAGAATAGGAAAGAAAAACATTATTTGTTTACTTTGAATTAAGGCTGGCTACATTCCCCAATCTGTCTAAAGCAAGTTTGACGCTAATGTGTCACTTCTGTTGACCTCTAAACACTGGGAACATGCAGAAAATTCCCTCTGTCAGTCAGTGCTCCTACCAGTGAGCAAATAACCGCATGAAGTTCTCGGGTGCCAGTAGAATAAAAATCTTGTCACCCACTCCATCCAAAATGAAAAGAAAATACATTGTTAACTATCCTCCCCCCCCCCCCACACACACACACCATTTACAGCTTAGTTCATATTCTGTGCCTTGGCTTGTTTATAAGGAGAAAAATAAACAAAACATCCACGCACACAAGCAGTTGATAAGAGAGGGAGCTTCCAGGTTGCCAAACCATCTTTCTGCCAGTGTGTTTAATTATCCCTGTCAACTGTTATGATGGAAGAACAGCATGTTGTATTTCTGCAACTTTATGTCTTTCCCAATAGCTGAAAACCAGTTTATACAATATTGTGGTTTTAAAATGAAGGAAAGTGAATATATGTTTCAGATGACTAGGATGCTAAAAAGTGTATCAGCGAGAGGGTTGCTGGTAGTGTCCAGAAGTAAAGATTCCCAACAGTAGGAAAATTTTCTGTCTACATGTTCTATAGAGCAGCAGGTTTACAAGTAGAACATTAGAGGTATTTTTATTTTAAGTAAATTACAGTAATCCCCTCCCCCCTCAACATTTAGCTTTCAAAGCTAGCTAGCAATATGCTATCTTTTAGATCCAGATTAGATCCAAATTGGTTTCAAATTCGCAAAGCCCTTGTGTGGAGGTCCCCCATTTTAAAACAAAATAGTTTGATTTCCCCAGCTTCTGCTTGCACCTCCATGAAAGAAAACCTGCAGAAGGAAAAGAAGTCCATCCTGAACATGAATTCAGAAATAATTTAGTAATGCTCTTTAGGCAGATAGGCTCATGCTGTGAAATTTGAAGCAGCAAACTCAAGGTATCGTTCTCAGTATGTATTAAAAATATGAGGATTTTGGCTAGGTAGAACCAAATTCTTTTCTTATTAGAGAAAAGTTCTTGACTTCTCCTGGTTTCTAGGTCAGCACCTTAACCATTACACAGTTATCTCATCTACTCTGGTCGTCAGTCTTTTCTTTTTTTGCTTTAGCTAGCAACAGCTTTAAGGTTGATCCTGATAGCAGGATTACGTGTTTTGGCTGTTGTTATTTTGCTCCAAGGTAAATGTAAGTGAATATTGTTCTAGAAATCTCTCTTGCTGATCCCATATTCCACACTTGTGTTATTTTTTGTTTGAATTGCAACTTCATGTGGTAGCTGGCTAATATAATCATTGTCCTGATGTGTTTGTGCCTTTTTAGATGTCTCCAGTGGTTATCGCATTGGTGTCCGATGGGAGTCGATGCCTACTTGTACGGCAGGCATCATTTCCTAAAGGGATGTACAGTGCTTTGGCTGGCTTCTGTGACATGGGTAAGACAGCATGTCCACAGTACGTGTTTTAATGATAGCCTCTGAAATGTAACTTCAGAGCGGTAACCCACTCAAAGCAGAGATGATATATGAGCCTTAACTAACTAGCTCATTATGTTGCATGTAATTGTCATATTGTTCAAACTTGGTCAAACAAGTTAATGGATGTATTGTGTTTTTTCTGAAATGAATCTAAGAAAAGGAGGAAATTAAGTCAGCACGTCAAGTATCTTGATAAATTTAGAACTCAAGTGAATCAAAATTTTGTGTTAGATTAGCCTACTTCAATCTGATGCCCTTCAGATTTGATAGGTCTGCCACTTGCAGTTGTAACACAGGTTGAGATCAATTTGGCTAGGAATTATGGGAGTTCAATCCCATTATATGGATTGTGTCTGTCTCAATATATCTTCAGGACATTTGATTGGGGAGATACGTTTTATTTTAGCCATTGATTTTTAATAATTATTTAGCCTAGGAAATAGGCATGAAGTAGGTTTGTTTGGTCTTGGCCTAGTATGTTTTTTCTGCCCAGTATTTATGGTTTGCAAACCATGATTTCTGGTATAGCATATTGTATGAACCTAGCTTTTTTGATGTTACAAGACATCAGAATTATTCTCCAAAAATAACTAGCTAATGGAGTGAGGTCTGTATGAATTTAAAGATATTGTAATCTAAATTGTCAACCCTTTGATACAGCCTGCATTTATACAACATGTATAGCTTGGTTGCTGAATTAATTTGTTTTTTGACTTTGCTTTAAAATATTGATTCATAAATTTACCAAATACAGTGAATTTGCTAAAGTAAAAATCTAACCATTACCTAATCCTGATCAGTTTAGTATGCTGTGTCATAGTATCTGCCAGATCTTTACCTAATCTGTTTAAGTTTGTGAATATAAAATTCGAGTTATGTGTTTGGTAAATTGAGGAAATCCTCTTTTATGACTCAAACCAAGCATCTTCTGTTAGAACAGGACAATAATTAACAAGTTTACATTAATTATAAAAATAAAAGGCAATATTTTTGTAAAAAAAAATACTGGCTTTTAACTGCCATAAAACTGGCAGTGTTAGTAGATAAATTTCTAGAAATTTAATTTAAAACATTCATACAGTATAGCTAGTTATTTTAAAACAACCCTGTGTGGCTTACATATAAACAGTTCATTAAGTATTTTTCTAGTTGGCTTTTCTGCTGACATGCAAAAAAGCTAGCCTAAATGGCATTTAAAAAAATGAAAAAAAATGAAATACATTTTCTGAAATAAAGCAAAGTAATGGCACTTTGGTATTTATAAGGTAGTTGTGTTAAGGTGGTGGCAGATAAACTCTTCAAGCATCATCATGATCATGCTTTCATGAAATTTTGATGACTGTTGGCATATGGACAATACTAGGTAAAAATGTCAACTCTACTATCAGTATATCATAATCCATTTTTTTTTAAAAAAACCTGATACTCTATTTTCATATGTTAGAAAGAGATTTTGTGTATATGCTATCAATGCTAAAGAAAAATATAAAGGTATTGGGTATGAAGACATCCTTCATTTTGTTTTCTGCCTTCAGGTGAGAGTCTAGAAGAGACAGTCCAACGCGAGGTTGCTGAAGAAGTAGGCTTAGAGGTGAAATCTCTCTGGTATTCTGCATCTCAGCACTGGCCATTCCCAAATAGCATCCTCATGATAGCTTGTCATGCATTAGTGCATCCCCTACAGAGCAATGTAAGAAGGCTGCTAGAATCCTACTCTGTTTTTATTTGATGCTAGTTTATGAATGAGAACCTAACCTTTCTTGAACTCAGCTTTCCCCAATTTGATGCCTTTCAGATACAATATGTTGGACAACTATTCCAATAACTTTCTGGAATTTCTGAATGTTATAATTCTATGCATTTTGAGGCCACTGAGTTCCACACTAACTGACAAATAATCACTATTCACTTTGATTCTTTTCTAGTCATGCTGCCTGGTGAGCATATGATTGTAATAGTCATGGATAGCTATTAAATTATATCATGAGCCAAATATTTCCTTGACAAGATCACTTAATGTACGTATCTTACTTTGTAGCCTCTGTAATATTTTTCTAAAGCAAGTTATAGGCTGTTCTTTCACTGCATGTGGGAAAAGTAGCTTGGTGCAATAAAGTCTTGCTGAACCTATGATGAAGGAGAGATTTGAACTGAAGCAGCACTGTGTTGCTACTCAGTTTTAGTTGTAGCTATGGCTAATGCACTAATAAACCTTCACTAGAAGATGACAATTTAAAAAAAATGCTTTGATTTTCAATTATTTCATTTGCAGTGTACAATAAATACTCAGGAGCTTGAATCTGCCAGATGGTTCAGCCATGAGGAAGTGGTGAAGGCACTTGAACGAAAATCATGGCCTTCCAAAGAAACGGATGACAGAACCTCTTTTTGGGTGCCACCTAAACAAGCTATAGCTCGTCGGTTGATCCAAGAATGGGTGAAGCAGAAAACGTCTCCTTAGTTTTAAAAAATGTGCAGGGGGGGATGATGGTAACTTTATAACTGATGTCTTTTTTGCAGTGGTCCTCCATATTTTGTGGAGTAAGTACTGGTAAACCATATTAGATCTTTTGACATGTTGTCTTGAAAATTCACTGCTGTAGAAATCATTGAATTGGTTTGGAACAAGAGGTTGATATTCCCATATAGTAATAATATGTAGCAAAACCAGTCTAAACTTCTATTCCTTTTGGAAACTAATAAGATTTGGGAGTATTCTTGGGATTTCTTAGTAAAGCCATTTGTGGGCAAATCTGGACCTTGAATTCCTTGCTTGTCCTTGGAAGCATCCTGGCCATGCCACCAGTTGGGGTTGGGAGTAGAGTTAAAATTCTTGACCACCAGGAGACTATGACCAATTTTGTCCTTATTGGGATTCATCAGGTCCACATAGCCATTATAGTTAGTATTACTCTTACATGGTTGACTCTCCTCTATCCGTTTGACTTCTCTTCCCTCTTTTTAAACAGATGCCTCCTGTCTCTAAAAGTAATGCAATTGTTTACTAAATATACAGTGCATGTTCCCCAACCAAAGTTCTGTTCTCTCATTCTTCCTGTGAGAATTCGTGTGAACTTAAAGGATTCTTATAGGGGTGAAGGAGAGTTCATCATTTATATTTGAAAAGTTCCTAATTATACACACAAAAGCAAAAAGGAAAAAAGCAAGCCAAAGATTGGGGTGGTTGTTAAATTTACCCAACATACTTGACTGGGTGAGCTAAAGATGTAAAGACTACTTTCAGCTAACCTGCTAATTCTGCTTAGTTTTAACCTTCTTTAATTTGTTTTTGGTTTGATTTGTGGGCAGGGGCTAAAAGCAGCTCATTCAGGTAGGTTATTTTATGTAAAAATAATAAATGATTTAGTTCAGTAACCAGGTTAAAGTTGTGTGAATTCAGGCAGAATATTGATTTGGTGTATTATATGGAGTTTACTGGAGCTTATGTGTTTTGAAGTATAGATCCTAGCACTCTCTTATACAAGTAGTTCACTACTTACTACTGGTTGCTTAGCAATTGTCTGAAGTTCCAACGGACCGCCCCAGGGTTACTTATGATTCAGATTCAAAGTTCCAACCACTGCCCCCGTCCCTGCAGTCACATCACATTTTGGGCTCTTGGCAACTGGCTAGCATTTATGGCAATTTGCAGCTTTCTGAAGTAACATGACCATGATTTGTGATACGTTTTGCCAGAAACTGGCATTTTACTTCCAGTTTCCTGCAAAAAGCTTCAATGGCAGACAATGGATTTGCTCAATGGCAGCAGTGTTCATTTAGTGGCTGTGATGATTTACTCAACGACTCCTACAAGAAAAAGCAAAATTGGGCCAGGTCATATGAGGACCCAGGTATCACCAGCATGGTAATTTGTAATTTGGGATTCAATTATGATCATAAATTGAGGACCTTCTGTATTCTGAGGGCTGAAGGCTTTATTCTTTTTTGGTCTCACTATTTTGTTTTCTGTGGAATATATGAACTGTTAAAGCAGAAATCTCAGTTGGAATGTTTATATTTGGGGTTCAAATAGCAATAGTGCTTAGATTTATATATCGCTCCATTCTGCTTTCTCTGGGCAGTTTACAGAATCAGTATATTGCCCCCAACAAATCTGGGTCCTGATTTTACCAACCTTGGAAGGATGGAAGGCTGAGTCAACCTTGAGCAGATCAGGATCGAACTCCAGGCTTTGGGCAGTGTTTGCCTACAATACTGCATTCTAACCACTACGCCACCACGGCTCTTGTAATGGTTTTGTAAAATTGCGATGCTTCCAATTTTGCAAAACAAAATATTTACTAAAAATGTCAGTTACATGCTTCCGCCGGCGGTGCTGCTGCTTTCCCCCTTCCCTTGAATGTCGAGCCCAGGGGTTCAACAGGCAGCTCCCTCTGCCAGAGCTCCACCTGGAAGGCAAGGACAAACATGTAAGCACTTACTCACTATTGCAGACTGTTCAGCTGACCTCCCACCTGGCTTACTAAGGCACTGTCGATGGAACCTCCGCATTAGTCAGGCATGGATGTCTGATTCCCCTACCCAGGACGCCTTCGTGATAGGATACCCCGTCCACCGTACTAGGTACTGTAATTGTCCCCGTTGGATCTGGGAGTCCAGAATCTCCTGTACTTCGTACTGGTCCCCCTCGACAGGTCCTGGTGCCTCTCCCATGGGCTCACAGGAGGAACCCTCCACCAGCTTCAACAAGCTACAGTGAAAGATCGGGTGTATCTTCCCCAAGAACCAGGGTAGCTGTAAGTGTACGGTCACCGGGTTGATGACCTGTGTGACCTGGAATGGCCCTAGGTACTTGGGACCTAGCTTTTTACAGGGTACCCTCAGTCGTAGATATTTCGTCGACAGGTACACCCATTCGCCCACCTGAAGAGGCTTTTGGGGCCTTCGCTTCTTGTTGGCCTGTGCTTTAGTGCTCTCCTTTGCTTTCACCAAAGCCCACTTTACATTACCCCACACCCCCAATGTGCGTTATCCAATCCTGGGGCTGGCAGGGGAGGGGTCCCCTTGGTTGTACTTGGGGATTGGGATGAAATCCAGGCTGTGCATCACCCGAAAGGGGGCAAACCCGGTGCTGCTGTGCACTGCATTGTTGTATGCCACTTCTGCGAATGGCAGTAGATCAACCCAGCCCGTCTACTGGTACGATACGTAGCTCTGTAGGTAGTGCTCCACCATCGTGTTCGCGCATTCTGCTACTCCGCTGGTGCTAGGGTGATATGCCGAACTGAGAACTTGAGACGATCTGATGCACCGGATAAACTCCCGCCAGAATCGAGCCGTGAATTACATGCCCCAATCTGAGATGATCCGTCGGGGCACCCCGTGCAAGCGATACACTTGTGTGATAAAGAGTTTGGCCAGCCTGCGGGTGGACAGCAACCCCTTACATGGGACAAAGTGGGCCTGCTTGGAGAAGAGGTATATGATGGTCCAGATCACAGTATAACCACGACTCTTCGGTAATTCCACAATAAAGTCCATCGCGATGTCCTCCCATGGTCGGGTTGGGTCCGCTACTGATTGTAACAACCCTACAGGCTTCCCTGTATGGGGCTTGGTGGTGGCACAAACATGGCATCTCTGAATGTAAGTCTCTACATCTGCTTTCATGTGCAGCCACCAGAACTGACGCCGCACCAGATGTAGGGTTTTAAGGAACCTGAAATGTCCTGCTTGCTTTACATCGTGGCACCGTCGTAACATTCCCTGTCGTAGAGCCTGTGGGACGTACAGCTTGTCACCTTTCCACTCTAAGTCATCCCTCCGGGTCAGTAGGCCTGGATGTTCCAGTAACTAGGGGTCATCCTGGACTGCCTTGTGCAGCTCCTGGACCAGGTCGACAGCCAGGTTGTGCGGTATCGCCTGTGCTGCGGCTTGCCGGTAGGGGGGCATGATTGCCTGTACCACCTCCTCCCGCTTACTATCGTATTAAGGCATCCGCGATAGAGCATCAGTGAGAAGGTTCTTCCCCCTCGGTACATACCTCAACCGGAAACGGAAGCATTGGAAGTACTGCACCCAACGGATATGTTTGGGGGACAAGCACCTCGGCAACTGCAACACCTCGAGATTCTTATGGTCTGTCCAGACCTCAAACTGTTCCTTCGCCCCCTCTAGTAGGTGTCACCATGTGGACAATGCTCACCGTACGGCAAACGCCTCCTCCCAAATGGCCCATGCCCTCCCTGTTTCTGTCAGTTTCCGTGACGTATAGGCACAGGGCTGAAATGCCCCCTGGCTGTTCTTTTGCAGTAACACTGCTCCCACTGCAACGTCGCTGGCATCGGCCTGTACCACGAATGGCATGTCGGGATTCGGGTGGAGCAAGACCGGCTCCCTCGCGAACAGGACCTTTAGGTCTTCAAAGGCCTTTTGACATGCCAGGGTCCATGCTAGTGGCTGATCCAGCCGTGGCTTTGTCGCAGTTTGTCCTGTGTGCAGCAGGTCTGTCGGGTAGAGCTACCGCTGCAAATGAGCGGATGAACTGCCTATAAAAGTTGGCAAATCCCAGGAAACTCTGCAGTTGATGGCGGGTCTGTGGCGCTTGCCACTCCAGCACAGCCCTGACTTTGTTAGGGTCCATTTCTACCCCTGCCCCTGATATCCTGTAGCCCAGATAGTCCAGCCGGGTTTGGTGGAAGTCACACTTAGTTTTACGAACAGGTGTGCTTTCAAGAGTTTCTCCAGCACCTGTCCACCAATCGGCTGTGTTCTTCCATGGAGGCGGTGTATATTAGGATGTCGTCCAGGTATACTAGCACCCCACGGTACAGGTGTTCATGGAGCACCTCGTTGATGAGCTGCATAAATACCGCAGGGGCTCCCTGCAACCCAAACAATGACAAAATCTTAGCCTTGGAAGGGTCTGCGAAGGTCTTCCAGTTCAACCCTCTGCCCAGGGCAGGGATCCACAGTACACTCTAGAGAAAATCTCCAGTGATGGAGCCCCCACATCTCTAGGAGACAAACTCGTGCTATTCATTTATTATAACCTTTTCTTCTTGGTTCTTGTCCTATAAAAAAATGAAGAAGGAAGTCTGAAAGTAGAGGTAGTTCTCGACTTACAACCACAGTTGGAACTGAAACTCCCCAAATCAATTCAGCTACATCTTGCATGTGTGTGTGTGTGATGCTCAAGCACAAGTTCTAATCCATGGATACCCATTGATGCTGTTTCCACAGACACCTTTTCAGTTTGATGTTGTAAACATGGAGAGTAAATGTAGGATGGGACTCGGCTATTATAATGGGTAGTTACATGAAGTAGGTTAGTTCAAATGTTTCTAGGATATTTTAAAAACCCTTCCCGAAAAATAATATTGGAACACAGAGATGGGATATGCACTCTGTTTAGGAATTAATTTCACACTCACTTTTTCAGAAATACAGGGCAGAGTTAAATAATACCAGCAGGAGTTTGGTGAACAATGTAAAATAAGGTTAAAGAGAAAAAATAGATATTTCACAACAACTCTAAAATGCGATATACACTTGCTGATTGCTAATGTAGTTTGTAAAATTCAAATAGAGATAGAAGGCAAAAGTACTGTAAAAACGAAGACAACGGCTGAAGTTGTCACCTCATTGTTGATGCAGTTGTTCTATCATTTTTCTCTAGTTGTGTTTCAGAGTTCCATTTAATATAATCCATTAGATTGCTTCAATGAAATTTTTCTTTATTCAGTGTTGACTTCAGGCAACAGCATGGACAACTCCCTGCAGTTTTCTTGGCAAGACTTTTGGAAGAGGCTTATTCTTGTTTTCTTTTTAGGGGCAGTTTTTCTGTTTTGTATTTTACTTTTTATGATAAAACAATAAATATTTAAAAAAGCCGTTTTGGATTTTGTCTGAACTTTGTCATCTGAAGAGTTTACAAAATCCTTTGGCAAAGTGTAATATTTGAAAATAAATTACTTGCACAACAATTGGATTCATGGCAGAATTTATGCAGCATCTAACTTGGAAACTTTAGTAGAGTGGGCCTGAACTTTATGCAAACTGTAACCTAAATGTTGGCATGTAAATTCAGTTTCAGCTTTGAAGTTGAGAAACAAAAATGCTTATTAAAGAGCACACCTTTTTTTGGCCAGTCGCCTATTACTGTTACTGTGTCACTCACCTGTATTTAAACATTGAAAGAAAAATCTTTGTTCAGTTTTACTGCCTCATTGTTTTATAAACAATAACCTTGCCTCCTCAAACCTATCAAATTAGTATTAATCAAATTAGTACCAGCCACTAAGATCTACAAGGGATTCTCTTCCTGATGGTGCTATTCGGAATATTCTCCTCCTGCTGATTTGGAGACATCT